GTTGATAATATTACATCTTCCATACTGAAATACAGTACATGACAGAAACACGAGATTTTAGCATACATTTCATGGAAGTAGAAGGGAGAGGAGATGGCATACCATACAACTATTCAAAATAATGTACTAGTAGACTGAGGTTGTAATGGTGCCTTTTTTGTACCAATATTTTTGTAGATTTTTCTAATTTATAGATATTTATGGAAGCAGTTAGTTAATCCACATTAGAGATAAAATTTAAAACGTATTTTTCGAATACTAAATGAATCAAATAGATATGCATAACTAATTGAAAAAATATTTATTATTGTAATAGGTATTTCCTTAAATAAAAATAAAATAACTAAAATGTGTAAAGTGTTACCCACAATTACTAGAGGCGACATTTAAAACGAATTTTTCGAATACGAAATGAATCAAATAATGAATAATGAATATTTGAAAAAATATTTATTTATTGTAATAGGTATTTCCTTAAATAAAAATAAAATAACTAAACATTTACAAAAATGTATTGGACAAGTCATAAAGCATAAATGCTAAATATTATAAGAGTAATAATTAATTCTTTTTCCAAATAAGTATACAGGGTGTTTCAAAAAATATGTGCCATCAGTATAGTGGGGTGATTCCTACCCAAAAATAAATAGTTCTAGCATGGGTCCGCAGGTGCTTTGTTTCAAAGATACAGGGTAGTACAATTTTAAACTGCCATCCTAATAAAAAAGGTCCTATCTGCAAAATTAGCAGTTTTTTCATTTGTCTACATTTTGTCTTTCTTGATACCAAAACGGAATGTCCTATTTCCGTAAAGGTACTAAAACGTAAAAGAGTTTTACAAAACAGGTTTAGAAGATAACAAATATGTCTGCGAAAAATAGTTCAGATAGGACCTTTCTTGCTAGGACGGCAGTACAATCAGTAAAAGAAATTGATAGGGAAATTTGGAAAACTATAACAAGTCAATAAAGATGACACTAGCATACTACATTTTTAACAGTGTGATAAAATTGCATCTACAATCTACAACTTTTTGACAGTTCTGTTCAGAGATTTAAGAATTTGTTAATTCTACTATTCTTATTTTCTATGTTAGCACTATTTTATTGTATTTTAACCGAATTGAGCTTAAAGATAGCTGCTAGGAATGAATGGTTTAAAAATAAACAGAATTTTCCAAGAGGCATTTTAGGACATGATGGCATTCGTAAGTTAGGCCTGCTATATAAAGTCCACTTTTCCGCACTCATTTTAGTGTTGAAAGAGTAAATTTTCCGCACTAGTGCGGAAAAAACTTTTCCGCACTAGTGCGGAAAAAACTTTTCCGCACTAGTAAATTTATTAAGTTTTTGGGGAGTATACTGACATTTGAATATTTAAAATACGAGGATGTATCAGAAAATAACGAGACTGGTGCTATAGTATAACAACGAAACATTTATTTAAAAAAATTCAACAACTATCCTTCGAAGTACTCTCAATTCTGTTGAATACACTTATTCCATCGCTTTATCCACTTATCATAAACTTCTGAGAAACCATTTTTTCGTCACATGTAACCACATTATTTAAAAACTGTGGGTTACGTTGCAATTGCCTTTTCCACTGCTGACAAATTGTCACTCGATTCGCTTTTTGTTCATCGGTCATCACTTTTGGAATCCATCTTGCCGCGATCTTCCGGTACTCTAAATCTTCATGAATAATTTTTTGAGTGGTACCGTAAGACAAATTAATATTGTCAGAAATTCGTTTTATGCCAATCCGGCGATCATTTTGTATTAAGTCGTTAATTTCTGCAATTTTTGTGTCATTTCTCGCAGTTTGTGGTCGACCGGGACGAGGTTCATCTTCAACTGATTCACAACCGTCTTTAAACTTTTTATGCCACTCAAACACTTTACATCGTGATAAACTATTATCTAGATATGCACCTTTAATCATTTCAAAAGTTTCAGTTGGTGTTTTACCCAATCGAACACAAAATTTTATCGCGTATCTTTGCTCCACTTTCATTTTTCGATGGGTACGCAAAACACTGACAATTCCATAATTAATTTGTAACAAATGTCAAAAGTTATATCAAAGCCTACTTGCGGGGTAGTACATTAAATATAAGGCTTTCATGTCTCATTTTTTGGGTTATAAAATGTTACCTCTGAAAGAAGTTATAGCCCCAGTCTCGTTATATACTGATATATCCTCGTATATATTTGTATGGTTGTAGTTTACAAAATGACTGAAAAATTAAGAAATTTATTAGAATTCTGCTATAATTTTTAATAAAAAAAAAAAACGTTGTTTCAATATTTTTTTAATGACCCTGGTATAAGCCTCATCAAATGAATGTCAAATAATAATAAACATCTTATATTTTTTATTTGTCACTTTGAATCATTATAGCAACAAAGAAAAAATAAACCTGTCAGTCAAAACACTACCGTGTCAAAACCAATTTTACCGTCGCATCTTTTTCTAGAAGATAATTTTTCATAGATTCTTCAGACGAAGATTTGCCAGAGTCAGTTTTGGAAGCGGCTAGAACTGCAAACTTGGATCTACTACCATCAAAATCCCGTTATAGGTATGAAAAGGAATATATTTTGTTTGAAAACTGGTGCCAGAATAAGGGAATTAAAACTTTTAAAGAAGACGTTTTTTTGGCTTATTTCGCTGAAATTTCCAAAACATGCAAGCCAAACACTCTTTGGTCCAGGTATTCAATGTTAAAAAGTGTAATTAAACTCAAAAAAGACGTCGATTTAAGCAAGTTTTTCAAGGTCACGGCATATATAAAAAAATACAAAACATTAGATTTAGACCAAAAAAGGCAAAAATTTTCTCATAAGAAATTTTTAAGTTTATAAATGAAGCGCCTGAAAAAATTTATCTTTATATAAAAGTCGCTACGATTTTTGGTTTGGCGGGCGCGTGTAGGCGAGAATAATTAACAAAGATGTTTTTAGATCATATTGATGACAAAGAAAATATTTTATTGATAAATATCCCAGACACAAAAAACTATTCTTTCAGAAGCTTCGCGATTTTTGAGGAAGCTAAAAATGGAAAATTGCTCAATTTGTTCAGAAAGTATGTGACTTTAAGAAAGCCTGAAACCCCACATAAGCGATTTTTCGTGAAATATAAGAAAGGAACTTGCACTGTACAATGTATCGGAATAAACACCATCAGAGATTGCAAGTTATCTGAAGCTTCCAAATCCTGAATTATATACGGGCCACAGTTTCCGACGTTCCGCCGCCACAATGCTTGCAGATTCCGGAGAAGGAATAACAAATATTAATTATGTAGAAAGTTCACCAGGTTTCCAAAAGGGCCTATCGAATAAAATATTAAACTTCAATGACGCTGTTGCTGGCCACTAGTCAGCAGCTGTCACCAGCAAAGCCTTCCAAAATGACCTCTTCCATCCAAGTTCCCATCGCCACGGTTGCAACAATTAGTGCTGACAAAGCAGTGGAAAACCGAAATCTGACTTCATTGGAAAACATTTTAGCCTCTGCAATTAATTTGCAGAATGCTACAAATTGCATGTTCAATATTAATATTAAGAATAATTAATTTGTTGATATGTAACGTGACTTCTAGTTATTCTATCCATTTTTATAATGTGTTTGCGCTGTCAGCGAAATCAAAAATAAATCTCACACGATGACAAATGACATTTGAGTAAGAGGTGGTTGTGTCGAAATAACGAAATAACGGTTCCAACCGTTACATTAATAATAAATGTTTCTTTATGTTAACTATTGGGTTTTCTCCGCACGCTAGTAGAAAAAAATAGTATACCTAACACGTGCGGAAAAGTATCACTTTCCGCATTTGTTAGGTATATTACTATATTAATGCTAGTTTCGTCTGTTTGCTGACATGGGCTGTTGCAAAATTAATAGCATGCCTAACTTATGAATAGGGTCATTAGCAATCAATACTTGAATTTCGTTGGCTTAATATGAAAATTGCATAAGTCCGAAATGAACAATTTTACAGGAGAGACAAAAAACGAATTTACGGCTTATTTAAAATTTATAGTTAAATAAAAATTACATTGTTATGAAAATTGCACAACTCCATTCAAAATTTAAACATGGTTTACAGATCAATATTTGTTGAAGTATAATCGATTTAATTTAACTTTGAGTCACTTGTACTTATTTTTACGTTATTATTACAGGCTTTATATAATACAGCAGCAATTCACTTTAAAAAACAACAAACTATGCACACAATTCACAATCCCGCATTTGTTAATAATAAGGACTTATGCAATATTCATAGGCATGTCATACTTAAGGGACTCATTCATGCAGATTTCATGGTAGTGTTTTTAGCAAAATCTAGTGACACTTTTCGTAAACTAAGAAAATATTTCTGTAGCTTTAGCAGCGGTAAACCAGATTCAGCCAAAATCGCAAAATCTAAAAATTTGGACTTATGCTCTTTTATAAAGCCGACGATTTACAATTTTGCCTAATCATTTTTAAATGATAAAAAATGCATCATTTCGTCGTAGGAAAGAATGTTAATATTTTGGTTGCTAGATAAGATAAAATAATATTAATTAACAAAAATTAAATACTTTGCTGCAATTTCAGCTTTAGATCTTAAATAATGAAATGAAAATAATATTAAATTTGCAGCTGTTACAGTGTTGACCATCCGCAGCAATTAATTTCGTTTTTTGCCTTTTTTGACAATGTTGAGTTACAAATTCGACTGATTCGGTACTTTATCTTATCAAATGTTAAAATTAATGTTAAATTTATATATCTATTTACTGTCCTACTAAGAAAAACAAATTTCACAAATTTTGGAAGATTGGAATGCAAATAAAGAATGTGTACTCTTTTTTATATAAAAAAATTGTTCGACAATATTTTCAAATCGCTTTTAAAAATATTTACCTTTTAGAAGTATTATATTATTTAAAATATTGTGACGTAAAGCATTTATTAAGTTTATTCTATTTATTTTTGCAGATTTCCACATACACTTGACAATATAACGTTTTAAATGATCCAATGGACAATCACGACCATCAAACGGACGAGGAAAAAGAGCGACGAGTAAGTAATATTTTTTTCCAAAATTAGTATATTCAAATCTGTTTAATGAGAGACTTTTGCTTTAAAATATGGAGAATTCTCATTTTTTTAATACGAAATTAATGCCACGAACAGCTAACAGTCCGCTAAATTAGTTTGATGCCTGCTGATATCATTATGGTCCCTTTAAGTTTAACACATTGATTGCCATGTCGGCCACACGTGAACGACAGTGATTGTATTGTTCAACAGGAAAATCCCAATTACAGAACAATTTAATAGGTAATTCTAGGAATATGAAGAATAAAAATATAATAAAATGTAAAGATTTCAAAAAATTAAAAATACACAAAAATTATATACGAGGTATGGCAGAAAAGTAATATGAGACTGATTTTTTACTTTGCAAAGTTTTTATTTCTTTCAAACATCAATGTTATTCCCTTCAAAGTAGTTCCCTTGGGCAGCTACACACCGATGGAGACGTCCCCACTGTTCGTAGCAGTGCTGGAAGTCTTCAACCGTTATAGAAATAGAAATATTTTATTCTCAGAAATTGGTATCATCTGCATACATGGTAGTTAGTAATTCGGCATTATTTGAATTCATATATGATGGAAGATCATTGGTATATATTAAAAATAATAGAGGGGCTAGTACGAATCCTTGTGGAACACCTCTTTTCATTAATAAAGGTTTACTAAGTTTATTTCTGTAATATACACTTTGTTGTCTGTTTTGCAAATAAGACGCAATAACCTTATTTGCAATGCCTCTAATGCCATATTTATCTAGTTTGTTGATTAACAATGTGTGACTTACACAGTCAAATGCTTTACACAGATCAGCGAATATAGCTACGCATTGTGATTTGTTTTCTAAAGACTTCTGAATGTTATTCATTAAAGCCAGCATGGCATCTGTAGTTGTTCTCCCATGTCTAAAACCATATTGTTCCCCAGACAACAGGTTGTTGTTTTTCAAAGAAATGCACAACTTTGGACGTTTTAAAAATATCTGGAAAGGTACATTCAGCTATACAACAGTTTATCAATTCAGTAATAGGAACAACAATATTTTGGGTGCAGTTTTTTTAATAAATAGGTATTAATTTCATATATATCTAGAGTTCTTTTTGATTTAATGTTTTGTATTATATCTATGGTGTCAGATTCAGTAAAAGGAGCTAAGAAAATTGATTGATTTTTTCGGTTATAACAAGTTAAGACAATTTTATTTTTATTGTTATTGAGGATGAATGATTTACAAAATATTTATTAAAGGTTTCTATATCGATTTCAGATTCTACTTTATTTGTATTATTACGTCCTGTTTCATTATTTATTATTTGCCATACAGTTTTAGATTTATTGTCTGAATTATTAATTTGTTTTGCATTTTTTAGCAATACATTGTATTTAGTTTTCTCTTGTTTATATAATTTTTTATTGTAGTCGGTTGGTTTGTTTTTAATGACGTCCTGTAAAAATAAGATTAGTTCTTTTTGTCTTTTTATTTCATCTGTATTCATATAACTCAAGTTTTTATTACATTTTTTTTTAGGTTGGGATATATTTGGAATTGAGGCATTAAAATGTTTCATAGATGTATCATGAAGTGCTTCAGCTTTTTTATTTGCATTGGTTGCTTTTCATATGTCATGCCAGGTTACATTTTGCAGAAGATTATTTATATTATTTTGAGAGAAGGATCTAAAATGGGTTATATCTCCTAATATGGAGCGCTCATGATTTAGGAAAGTTAATAATTGAGGGTCATGGGCTGACTCTGTAGTCCTTAACACGCGTGTCTGAGCAAAAGGAAAGTTAGCAAATATGTTGTCTGGACATGTTTGAGAGCTCTCTGTAATACGAGTATATATAAATATTGTTTGTTCAAAATTAAACTGAAATAACAAGTCGGTGAGTTGTCATGTTCTGCTATCAGTTTCTAATCATTATATGATTCTACTATTTTTGTGTTTAGCTTCTAATAGTAATAAGACATTTGTTAAAATTGTAAGAAATATTTCAAAATTAGAATATTGTGAATTGGACCTATATATAACAATGAGTACCAGATTAAGCGTTTTAATAAACGCCCCAGTTATTTCACAGTGGATTTCTTTTGACATATTCTTAATTTATGGAATCTCAGCGCTTTGTAAAGTGTTGTGAATATACATACTTACCCCAACATGGATATGTGTTTCTCTACAAAAAGTAGTTACGTTATTAAAATTTGTAAGATTGAAACATGTCGTCTGATTAGAAAACAGCCAATGTTCTGAAACGTAAACAATTTTTACATTTGTCATGTTATTAACTAGGTTGTCTAATTGAAGTATTTTGTTTCTAATACATTGTACGTTTTGATGGAGAATGGAAATTTCTGTTTCGTCGGTATTGGTATTCTAAATTTTGATTCATTTGTTCTTTGTCTCTCAGGGATTCCTCGAAAAAAGTGATTATTGGTGTTTATTCCATGATGATGTGGTTTGGAGTTGAAAGGCATTACCGTGATCCCGTTTGGCCAAATGTTTTCTTGCCGTAAACCGTTTTCTATTTCTTGGTTTGCAGTGATCTCAAAAGATTTGTAAGTTTTTGTTTTTGAATCTGGATTTAGTTCTTCCTTTTTGAAAAGCGAAATATTTGATGGAGCCCTAAACAAAATCATATCCTCCTTCCTCTTAGTGATTTCTAAAAAAAGGTCCTCAAGCCAGGTCCTTCCCTTTTGTGGCGATAGTACTGCTTTTTTTTCTTTTTTTATATTATTTTGTTCGCGTTTGCTATTAGCTTGAAAAATTCCACATTAGATCTACATAGAAAAATATCCGTATCACACATTAAAAAAAAATTAGAGTATTAAATTAAATGAAAGAAAGTGAAGTGAGAACTGAAAAATTGAAATGCAATTTTGGAAGTGAAAACAAACCAAAGAAAACCTGAAAAAGCTGAGAATTAAAGAAAGAAAAAATAATTTACAAGGAATCTAACCTGAGATCTCGGATTTTATAGCTAATTTTTAGAAATATAAAAATAATTATTGTGTAGATAGTTTGTAGTGATATTTACTTTTAATACTTACGCATGTTTTTTGTTTTTCGAGTTACTTATATGATACCAAAATTACTAAACATATTTAAATAATAATAGTAGAATATTTATTTCCACAAGTTCGCTTCGTTGTCAATGCATTTTCTTATCTGGTTATTTATTTAATATTGTGTATCTAGACTTAATAAAGTATGTTATATTGTATATTTAAATTTAAATGAATACAATTAATATTAAATGAATAAATATTATTATTTATCTTGAGTAAAAATAATATTATACATATAAACATTTTTAAGCAGGTAATCCCTAGTCTTATAAAAATGATTTATTAATTTATCACCAAAATATTGTTATAACAAATTAGTAAAATAAATTTGTCTCGCAGCAAATTTGAGTTTACCGCTAGCCTTTAATGACAAATCAACATCTTTACAGCTCTAATAAATAAGCGGTGTGTCCATAAAGTAATACTTAAATTTATTGTTAACTAAATAAACAATACTATTAAAAATTCGCGAAAGATGTCGATTTTTATTTCAAATTACTGTTTTTTTTTAAATAATAACCTAATCTACAGGGTGAACAACTTTCGCCATCACCATTTTTTTTTATTTAATGGAACACCCCATTTTTTCTTAATTTTCATTAGTACCCAATTGGAGTTGTGTATTAGGCCTTCTTCTGTATTAGCCTGTGCTACATCCACTTCCTATATCTTGTCTGAGGATCCCTTCATGCAGGAAGTTCCACAGGATCGGACCAAGGGCCGAACGCTGTGGGACACCACGGGTCATTTCGATCTCCTGGGTACCTCACTGTGTGTGCCTATAATTATAGTTACCTTCAATCTACAGCCTACTCTACCCAAATGTGGGTGGGATTGCCGACTGTTTTCTTAATTCACCTCATCACACTTATATTAAATGGAATCAATAAACGGCAATAAAAATATTTGAATTTTCATTCAAAGAAAAGAACATTTTTCGTTTCGGTGAAAAAATTTCATACAGTCTGTTCGCTATACTTACGCGGGTTTCGGATTAAAAATTTTATGAGTATATCCAGGTAAGTACCCGAAAGTTTGACCTGTTCTTTGATGAAATATCAACTGGTTAAATGAAATGAAAAATAATGTACAACTTTTTAATTAAATAATAATGGAGAATCTTTTGTATAATTGAGAGCAAAATTAAACTTCTTCATTAATGGAGTCTAATGTGACTATTATAAACCTAATAATAATTTTATACTACACTTCACACAGAAAATATGGTCTATGTATAATAAGAAGGTTATTTAGCTCAAATAAAAAAATTGAAGTTGCCAACAAAAATGAAAATCAGTCATTATCATCCAAAATATCATAATCGTCATCATCACTGTCATCACTATTAAAATTGTTATTATGATTGGACTTATTTCGTTTATTTTATTTTCACGAGTCCACCAATTTTCTATTAATTTCTCGCACTTGGATATACAGTTCCCTCACACTTCTGGAGTTGCAATTGAAAGTGCTTTTCGCCAAGTTTCCCGAACTGCGTCGTCACTATAACCATTAGGCCCAATATGGTTGTCATAATATTGTTTTGCTATTCCCCATATATATTCGATGGGATTAAACTGGCAATGATGCGGTGGCAGACGTAAAACTTGATGACGGTAACTTTCAATAATCTGATCCACAACAAAGGTTTTTGGTTTTGCGTGTATATTTGCCAAGCGTAATAATTCTGATTTTAATATATATTGAGGAAATGGTATATGTTCCTTTGTCAACCATTCTTTAATTTTATCAACAGTCCAAGAATTCGTTGGACTTTCGTTTAATACTTCAGAATGGTAAGGTGTATTGTCTAAAATAATTACACTGGGCTCACTTAAACCTGGGAGAAGTTTTTCATGCAACCATTTTACAAACATTTCTGTGTTCATATTATCGTGATAGTCACTGGATTTTGA